CAGACTGGTTCCAAATCAGGAAAGGAGTATGTCAAGGCTGTATATTGTCACCCTGCTTATTTAACTTATATGCAGAGTACATCATGAGAAACATTCGGCTGGATGAAGCACAAGCTGGAATCAAGATTGCCGGGAGAAAAATATCAATAACCTCAGATATGCAGATGACACCACCCTTATGGCAGAAAGTGAAGAAGAACTAAAGAGCCTCTTGATGAAAGTGAAAGGGGAGAGTGAAAAAGTTGGCTTAAAACTCAATATTCAGAAAACTAATATCATGGCATCTGGCCCCATCACTTCATGGCAAATAGATGGGGAAACACTGGAAATAGGACAGACTTTATTTTGCGGGGCTCCAAAATCAATGCAGATGCTGACTGCAGCCATGAAATAAAAGATGCTTGCTCCTTAGCAGAAAACTTATGACCATAGTGGAGTCGCTCAGTCGTGTCTGACTCTTTGCAACCCCATGGACTGTAGCCTACCAGGCTCCTCCGTCCGTGGGAATTTCCAAGCAATAGTACTGGAGTGGGTTGCCATTTCCTTCTCCAGGGGATTTTCCTGACCCAGGGATCGAACCCAGGTCTCCCGCATTGTAGACAGACACTTTACTGTCTGAGCCACCAGGGAAGTCCTCTGACCAAACTAGACAGCTTGTTAAAAAGCAGAGACATCACTTTGCCAACAAAGGTCTGTCTGGTCAAAGCTATGTTTTTTCCAGTAGTCATGAATGGATGTGAGAGTTGGACTATAAAGAAAGCTGAGCACCGAAGAATTGATACTTTTGAACTGTGGTGATGGGAAGACTCTTGAGAGCCCCTTGGACTGCAAGGAGTTCCAACCAGCCCATCCTAAAGATCAGTCCCGGATGTTCACTGGAAGGACTGAAACTCCAATACTTTGGCCACCTGATGTGAAGAACTGACTCATTGGAAAAGGCAATGATGCTGGGAAAGATTGAAGGCAGAGGAGAAGGGGACAATAGAGGATGAGACATTTGGATGACATCACTGACTCAATGGACATGGATTTGGGTAGACTCCGGGAGTTGGTGATGGACAGGGTGGTCCGGCGTGCTATGGTTCATGGGATTGCAAAGAGTCAGACGTGACAGAGCAACTGAACTGAACTGATACTATTTAAAATATAAGAAAAAGTTATGAAAAATGCTTGTTATGAAATGTGAGTAGCTGTACACAACATCTATAAATACATGAAAACTGAGAGGAAAATGGAAGTCTTCAAAGAGAACACAGAAGATGATGCCACTTAAGTAATGCTCAAAAGATATAAAAACCAAGAAGAATGTTAGGGATACATATATGGTTATCTATAATGCAAAGAAAGAAATGATAAATCCAAAATTCAAGGGATCTGAATTGAGCAGGGGGGCATGGAAGATTCAAAGTCATAGGCAACATTCTGTAGGTTAGCCTCATCAGTAAAGTGGATATTTGTGCCACTGTAGCCTTTCTAATGTTAAACATTTTATACAAATAATTTTTATAATAAGTCAAGCTATTAGTAACTTCAAATTTGGGTCTTGACTTCTTTTCTCCAGATCAGGCTGACAACAAGGAACACAGTGATCTCATCGCTCACCATAAGCTCTTCCATCTCTGTCCTCACACATGCAGTGCACGGCACAAAACATTCAGCAATTCCCAAAGCAAGTTCTCCTACCAGTTTTGTGTTTTCAAGCCCAGAAATGCAGAAAACCTACATTCCAAACACACTGATTAAATGGAATAATGACACACACAGACTGCTTACCTGCTTTTCAGTAAACACATGCTTACTTACTCAGTCATCTGACTCTTTGTGACCCCATGGACTGCAGCCTGCCAGGCTCCTCTGTCCATGGAGATTCTCCAGGCCAGAATACTGGAGTGGGTAGCCTTTCCCTCCTCCAGGGGATCTTCCCAACCCAGGGATCAAACCCAGGTCTCTGGCATTGCTGGCAGATTCTTTACCAGCTGAGCTACCAACTTACATTTTATGAAAAAATTTCCTAAAGTGATTTTCTCAAAGTTACGGTTATTCACTTAATCAAATCTAGTTCCAAAATCTCATTACAAATCTTCTAACATAATGGTATCTTGTAAAATAGTAACAGTAAACTTCAAAATGTACACGTTAACTGTGAATAACACAAAGATCAAAGAAGACTGCTGTTCCTGAGACAGAAATCTTTTTCTTAACAGCCACTTCAAACTGGGCAAATGAAGATGCATTCTATAATTTGCTACATGCAAAGATGAGTATGGACTAAAACGCATATCAATCATAATGATACTAGTGTGTACATTTTACCTTTTTACATCCATATATTTGAAAGTGCAAAGATAGTTGTTGACATAGTTATTCACTCATCTTTTAGTGGACATCCACTAAAAAGTTATACTTGAAGAAGCTGGTCTATTCTCTTATGTTCCGAAAATAAAGGAACTAGTCTTTAAGCTCAAAATTCTCCTTAAGAATATTGAATAATTAATAAAACTTCAAACAGAACTACATGATCTTCAAATCAACCCTTCATAAAACAAAGCAAATAATTTGGTATTTAAAGCAATAGTTTACACATAATTCCCTATCCAGATAGTCAAAGGATAACATGTTTCATAATTGCTAGGCAGAGTTTCAGAGGTTGATGAATGGCTCTAAAATATTACCTATCAGGGATGGGGCTCCAGGGCGGGGCAGGGTTGCTCCTAATTTTTCCTTGATTTTTGATTTAAGTAAATCTTGATCCCAAACCATCATTAATCAGTTCACTTGCTTCCTTTTCAATTGTATTCACGGACATAAAAAGTTTAACTCTGACTTTCTCAGTAATACTACAGATCTAAAAATAATCTCAAAAGCTTACAAAAAGTTGGAATTCCTTCTCTCTTGAAATTTAATCACATAATGTATTAAAAAGAAAATATGAAAAACTGACTTTATCAGCTAACTGCATTGTAACTAACCGCAAAGTCCAAAGATTTGATCAGAGAAATAGATTCAAGTTTTACATGTTCAGCTAAGTTTTTCCTCTAACTGGAGCACTGGGCAGAGAAATGTTCTTGAGTATCTCAGTTTTCTTTCTACATAAAGCACCATGATTTCAGAAAAATTTCTCTAATAATATGGTTTTCTATTCTTTCCAATCAAAAATACTATAGGAAACAAATACTTGTGACTTCCTGATAATATATTCTAAAACTGGCCACTGTCGAGGAAATAATTCCACAAATTTTTATTTTTGAAACAAGATTCAAATGGAAAATACAGCATCCTCTCCCAGTGCCTTTAGGTAGAATCACAGGAAATGCTAAATCTATTTTAATATGCTTGAATTCACACAGACAGTCCTCTCACAGCTTTTTTCACTAACACGTTTAAATATTCAAAATAAGAAGAAGATGAGGTAACAGGAGAGTCTACTTCTAATTACACTGAAATTCCATGATCATCTCCAGTGTCAGGTGGCTGCCATATAAACTGAAAATGAGTAGAGCTCCTCATTTGACCCCAACATACCCTCTTCCTACATTTAAACTCTACAGGAACAGGGCCTGGACCTCCTCTGCTGTTTATTCAAGCCACATATCTAAGATGGTGCTCAGAAAACAGCAGGTACTCATCCACAGTTTTTAAATGACATTTAACAGTACAGATAAAACCGGAAACTAGAACTCTTCATGTATGACTACACCTGTCAAATAAATATTAAGACATATGAAGTCCCTGGTCTCATGCCCACCATAAATTTACACCCTAGCTGCTGCTGCTGCTAAGTCACTTCAGTTGTGTCCAACCCTGTGAGACCCCACAGACAGCAGCCCACCAGGCTCCTCTGTCCATAGGATTCTTCAGGCAAGAATACTGGAGTGGGTTGCCATTTCCTTCTCCTTACACCCTAGAGAACAGACTAAAATGGTAAAATATGGAAAAACAAAGATAAAGTTGAAATAATAGAGATTCTTTGCTCACTCTTCATACTCCTTAGTTAAACCTCACTCTAATGTCTCTCAGCAGGTAGGGTCTTTTTATTTTAAAAATTATACTGTCAAGGATTTTTATCTTACTGTAGCCAAAATTAAGAAATATCCAGAATATCAGAATATCAAAAAAATTCTTTTACAGATCATTAACTTCCAAGGGTCAGTCATTCTGGCCCTTTGTCTATATTTTATACACACATACACGTATACATATATATGCATATAAAGAGAAAACTAGAATATATTTATATATATATATATTTACATAGAAAGAATCATTCATTTATTATACAAATAAGAAATCAAAACTAATCTACCTTAGACTCTTACAGCTTGGAAATTCTATGACTGCTCATTTTATAACCACCCCTATTTAAAAGTTTTCAAGACTATGCTAGGCTAAAAAGTCTAAAAATGGTTTATCAAGGCACTGCAGTATGGCTAGATACAGGGCACCTAGTGAAATCTGGATTTCTGAAAAAATAACAAATAATTTCTTACTGTAAGTATGTCTTAAGTCCAGATTTTTCTAGGCATGTTATATTTTTATTTGCTAAACCTGACAACACTAACCTATGGGCTCCTGTAAAAGATACCCCTTCCAATAAAAGAAAAAAACAAATTATTGGCATTTCTTGCTATGTCAAACAGGAATAAGCCAGTATATATACAATGCCAAAATTCAGAGTGAAACTCAGCCACATTAAATCAATAGTTTCTGATCATGATTAATTCTCTTTTGAAAAACAGCTTAAGGTTTTAAAAATTCTGAGGAAAAAAAAGAATGATTTTTTAAAAAGTACACAAGCTATATACTACTCAGTAATCAATACAAAAAGTATATTGAGACTATATTTCCACATGCATATAAATATTATGTATTCAACTGTTACCTTGAGAAGTTGTTGAGGCAGACCAGCTATTTATTCACAGGCACCATGAAGTATAAAAGTGACAGATCATAGCATCTGTTTAATTCAGTAACATGCCCTCATGTTCAGACAGACGAATTACCTCACAGGGTTACTTGTCAAAGACACGCGGAGGGACTCCAGGTACGTGAAGAGTCTCTCATCCGCAGACCCCATCTTCAGTTCATAGATGAATTCCTCAGGTGAGATCTGTCGATTACTCTTAAGACTTCCCTGAAAAATAAGTTAAAAAAACTGAATTCATGCTGTGTGAAGATTATTAAAATAGTTACAACTGCATTAATCCCACCTTTCACATTAACAGCAATACACAGTTACTCATAGTATTATTGAGAGAATGATTTCCTTACTTCTGCCCATAAATCTATAAATTCATAATCCATGGTATCCATGAAACATAGCAATACATCATCAACAGGTTTTCAAATTATAAAATAATTGCCTTGTCAAATCCAGACTATCACGTAAAACAAAGGAAATATCCAAAAATATACCAATGTGTTTTAGGAACATGCAAAATAAAACCAAACCTCAATATAAGAATAACTCCATTAAAATAAATATTCTAAGCAATACAAAAAAAGCCATAAATTATTAAGCATCTAGTTCGAGGCATTACAGACACAGAGATTATCAAAACCCAAGTCTGAAAGGAGAAACCCAAGCAAAAAAACAGTACTATTCAATGCAGTCTAATTCCTCCAGCGCTAACTCGGGTCTAACTGTGCAAGCCCATGGACTGTAGGCTACCAGTCTCCTCTGTCCATGGATTTCTCCAGGCAAGAACACTGGAGTGGGTAGCCATTCCCTTCTCCAGGGGCATCTTCCTGACCCATGAATCAAACCTGGATCTCCTGCACTGCAGGCAGATTCTTTACCATCTGAGCCACCAGGGAAGCCCCCAATTTCTCTAACATGACACCAAAGGCTCAAAGGAGAAGAGCCAGCTTGGCAGAGGGCTAAGGGGAGAGGCAAGGGGAGGTAAAGAAGAGCCAAGGAGGCAGGCTCAGTCAAGGATACCTTTCAGACGGAAACATAACACATGAGCACGCCCCCAAAAATATACGAGGGCACATACAATTGCAAATGAGAGGCAGCCCCTAGAGCAGGGGGCACCCCTCCACGAACAGCTTGTCACACCAGCAGCAGCACGGAACACAGGGGAGAGGGGCTGGCGCTCACGCATCACTCCACACACATCAGGTCCAGTCAGCGCCAGTCAAGGTCCTACGTGCTGAGAAAGAACCCGTGAACAAGAGACAAAAACCGCTGCCCGCACAGACCTCCACTCTCCACAAGCAAGGGTGAAGACAGACCGACAACAACTGACAAGTGATCAAAACACATCCAACTGTACGTAGTGCTAAGTGCTATAGAGAAAAACAAGCAATGGGAGGAATAAGCAGCATAGCAAGTGCGGTGAACTTCAAACAGGGTGGCCAAAGAAAGTCTCCTAGAGAAGACTCTGAAGGACTCAAACTTGAATGTTAGAATCAAAGTCTGAAGGATGTGAGAGCTTGAACCTTGTATAAGTCTCGAAAAAGAACTGTGATAGAGAGGACAGTAGGCTTTACAGGCCACCAATGAGCCTGGACTTCCACTCTGCGATCAGAGGCATCAGAAGCAGAAAGACCGTTGAACAGGTATGTGTGTGGTCCACTTGGACCGCATGAGAACGTCCATCTACCAGATGGATGTCTAAAACGAGGATGTCCAGCTAACAGTAAACTTCAGAATTCTATTTAAATTACAGATTATAAATCCAAGGGGAAGGAAAGGATCGGTACCTGTCCAAAAGTAGATTAGCTGGGATGGTAGGAAATTAGATGTATTTTTCCCATTTCCTTTTCATTTTTTTGTTATACTGTTGCACAAGGAGACATTCCCAATAAAGCAAAGCAAGTTAGCCCTGGGAAACAGGTGATTTTCATAATCAGCAAGTCCTAATTTACTAAAGAAAATTTCAGGGCAAAATCTCAAAGAACAAAATGATAAAATAAAAATGAAAGGAAAAATGAAATGGTGAGAAAACTGAAAATATCAGATTTTTTAATTAGTGACTATGCTATCTCTCATTAAAAAGAGAATACATTCAACTTGTACCAGTATATCATTTATCTACCTCTTTGCTTAAATTTTGAATCTGTTTCTTGTTCAACACAGAAGATTTGGAAAACAGAAAAACAAAGAAAAATGTCTAAAAATAACTATTAGTTTGATATTTCTATGTCTTAAGTATTTTTTCCCCTACTTTATAATATATAAACTTGCAAACTTAAACATACTTTACTTATAAAAATATACATTTTATCATTGAGTAATATTTAAAGAACATATTCCAGTATTAATACTTAATTCCCAAAGAAAATTATTTTCTTTCTGCCTGCAGACTATTATCAACAGACTGTGCTTGTGCCGTGCCTTGCTCAGTTGCGTCCGACTCTTTGTGATCCCATGGACTGTAACCCACCAGGCTCCTCTGTCCATGGGATTCTCCATGCAAGAATACTAGAGTGGGTTGCCATGCCTTGTTCCAGGATTAACATACTACTACTTACCTAATTTACACCATTATTAATGAGCATTTTGTTTGCTTACAATTTTTTTGTATTGTAAATTTTTTCAAGTTTCTGATGTAGGCTGCCAGGCCAATAATTCTATCCAAATATATATCAATGGAGGTTAAACTAGATAATCTTTTGTAGTCCTTTCTGAATTTATTATTGAAAAGAATTACAACTTTGGTAGAATCAAAATAAACCAAGACTGAATAGATGAACTGTTTCCTTCAACAATATTTGGGTAAACCCCAGTATTTAAAGTAAATACTTCTACAATATAAGAATAACAAGCAATAAGTGCATTTGGATTAAAAGTGATATAAAGCTATTTTAAAAATAAATAAAAAGCCACCTGCCCACCTCTTTAGCCCTATCTCACTTAAAAGACAGCCACTTTTAAGTCCCTGAACAGTTTCTTCTGAGAGTTACTCAATATATGTAAATTATGTGCTTATTCTGATATATTTAAACTTGTAACCTTTCAATATTGCCTTGGACTTCTGTTATAAAATATATAAAACATAAAGACTTATAAAAACATTAGAAATTCTACTCTCCCTCCCTCTGGCTACATTATAAGTAAATTAAATTGAACCAAATGTGACAACCCATGAAATGAGAGCTAGCTGAATTCACATTCCATGGGATCCTCACCGCAAAGTTCCTAGAGAGATGAGTGCAGGCATCCAAAAACCTTAACAATGCTTTAATTTGCTTTAGTGACACAGAATAGGGCAGTCAATGAACAGAATGCCTCCATTCATAAAGTCTTCCAGCTACTATAATTTCCATGTTGGCCAAATCAACATGTTGGCTGCCCCTAAAATTGGGAATATGAGAAGCAATGTTGGCTCCCATCATTCCTATCCAGGAATACAGCAAGGTCAATAATAACAACAGCATACACACAGATTAGAAAGGAAGAAGTAGATCTCTCTATAAGCAAACAAGATTATCTACAGGAATTTACCAAGGTCACAGAATAAAACTCAACATAGAAAAATAATTCTTATTTATAAATACTACCAGCAATTGGAAAACAAAACTTTTAAATAAACGATTTCTAATAGCATCAAAAAATACAAAATTAACAAAAATTTTAACAAAGGAAAATATCTATACATTAAAAACTGTAACACTGTGGAGACAAGATGACCAAATAAATAAAAATGTTATACCATGTTCACAGATCAATCTCAAGAAATCCATTAAGAAAAACAGCTTTTGAAAAATAATCTACAAAGTCAATATAATAACCATCAACATGTCAGCAAGCTTTTTTGAAGAAATTGAGAAGCAGTTTCTAAAATTAATATGGAAATGCAGGGAATCTACAGCAGAATAATTTCGAAAAAAATAAAGTTGGGGACTTATTTCATCTGATTTCAATATTTACTGAAATGCTACAGTAGTCAAAGTAGAATTAATAGGACATTAATGGAACAGAACAAAGTATAGACATATAATTGAATCTATGTAATGAATGACTCTCAACAAAGATCTCAATGTAATTCAATCAAGTATTTTAACAATCTTTTTAATAATCAGTGCTGGAATAACCGAACATCCATATGAAAGAATGTGAACCTAAAAAAGCTAAAATTATAAAATGTCTAGAAGAAAACAGTGAAAACCTTCACTTTCCTGAGGAAAGCAAAGATTCCTTAGGATACAAAAGGCACTAACTAGAAAACTGGATTTCATTAAAACGTAAATGTTCCACTTCTCAAAAGACTCTTTTATTAAGACAGTGTCCTTAAAATGAAAAGTAAGTCACAGACTGAGAAGACACTGCAATACATGTCAAGAACTATGCGGAGTCTCATATTCTACTCTATATGCAAACTAAGTTAGCCTGCTGCTGCTTCCTGAGTACCGAGGGAAAACTTAAGGCTCCTGAGTTAGACACAAAAGGACTCTATCACACATGTGGGTTCCCCAACCCAAACGAAGGCCCAAACGTATGATGATGGATGTCTACACATGTAATGGATCATGTTCACTATTACAAGAACCCTGAGCTGAGGGTAATCACCACTTTTATAGTGAATAGTAACAAAACCATTAATCATCCACAGAGATGATCCATGATCATCTCTAAGGTTGTGAAAGTGAAAGTTGCTCAGGCCGACTCTTTGAGACCCCATGGATTATACAGTTCATGGAATTCTCCAGGCCAGAATACTGAAGTGGGTAGACTTTCCCTTCTCCAGGGGATCTTTCCAACCCAGAGATCAAATCCAGGTTTCCCACATTGCAGGCAGAGTCTTTACCTGATGAGCCACAAGGGAAGCCCTCTCTAAGGTGATCTCTGAGGTTGATTCACTGTGAACACAATCCTGAAAAATGATCTGGATAAACAACCCTCAGGCCTTGCATGCTGGCATAACCAGAAAGAATATACAGGAGTATCTACGGTCCACGGGAGACTTCATCTCCTAATATAAATATATCTCATAAAAGATTTCTATTCAGACCATTTAACAAACTCCTACAACTCAATCATAATAAGAAAAACAGACCAATTAAAAACATGAATAAAAGACTTCACAAGAGAAGACATATGAATGGACAATAAGCACAAGAAATGATATTCAGGATCATTTGTAATCAGGGAATTGTAAAACAAAACCAGAAACAAAATAATACTAT